ACTCACACTCACACTCACCACCACTGCCACCACCACCACGATCTCCACCTTCATCACCACCATCACCTCTCTGGACCCCAAAGCGTCTAGATCTCTAGACATTTTGCTTATAGACCTCACACACTGTTTGGGGTCTCTTGCCGGGATAATTTAACACACCACTCTTCTTTTTTGACCGACAACCCTTCTTTCTTGACCAGTCTGTTTCCAATCCGTGTTTTTTTTGCCGCCCTTTTTTGACCTCCGCAACCCTTTCTCTTTGACCCACGGTCCCTTTTTTTGACCCCCGCAGCCCTTTCATTTTGACCAAGGACCATTTTTGTTGACCACTAACCCTCTTTTCTGACCCACGGTCCTATTTTCTTTGACCCCGCAGCACTTTTTGTTTGACCCAGAACCCAGGTTTCTTGACCTCATAGACCCCCGGGCACGCTGTATGAGAGGAAGACGCATGGAGAGGAACTGTTTCTCCTTCTGCATCCCTCTCTCTTCATCTGACCCACGACACTGCCTGTTTGATCCCGTAACCCCTTCGTTTTGAGCCACGCACCCTTTTCATCCACAACCTTTTTCTTTTTTATTCTCATTAAGCCCACCCACTACCCTTGCCAGTTAACTGGGGTCCAGCCAACATTGAGTTTGTGAAAGCCTTGCGGGCAGTGACGCCTTTGGCATGCAAGAAGTATGCGACTGTGGAGCACAAGGCACTAGCTGTACCCACAGACATGGAAGAGTATCCGGGGAAGTTTGAGATCCGGATTCCAAGGAAGGTATTTGTATTTGCCTGTATATGGGAGTGTCGCAATCTGAGGCACCAGCCGGGCATAGAAAGGAAGAAGCACAGAGGCAGAAGCCGCCTGCGCTTCGGTTGCAGCCGCCTGTGGTTAAGTTAGGTGGTTCCCGAGACATGACACCCAAAGGTGCTGCAGAGTATTGCAAGTCTTCATGGTGCAGCCATGGAAGAGGGGACTATAGACAGTCAATGTCGATGGCAGCCGTCCATCGCGAGGTTCGTGAGGGGATCTGCAGCTTTGCTGTGCGTTGCTTGATGTGCAACAAGGGTCGGGGTGAGAAACTGTGTCCTCTAGAAGCCGGGCTTTATGTCAAATGCTTTTCAGACAGTCCGCATGTAGTGGAGACAGTCTTCCAAAAGAGATCAGAGTGTCACAGCACGGTGGGAAAACGCGCGGACCAGGCGACAGCAAAGTGGAAGGCCAGTCGAAAGCCTAGCTCGTCCCAAGCACGGGCAAAGCTTTCGGTGCCTGGGTTGCACTGTGAAACTTGTCCAGGCCGCTCACGCTGTGGAAGCAAGCGACTATACGTATACCCTGGTGACTGCTCACACTGGCAAACTAATTGAACGCTTGTGCATCCAATCATAGAGCTCGGACGAGCTTCGACTGAATACGAGCTTTGGTCAGAAAATGTTGGACACCCTGCAATCGCATGGGCAGACGTGGATTGACGCCCTGTGCTGGTTCCAGCGCTTCCACGTGCCGTCTCTGTCGCTTTCGCAACCGACGCCAAGCAGCTCGCGATATGCGCCACCCCCAGAGCCAAAACGTTTAGTGGCTGGGTTGCAATGGGCGCATTCGCCGGAGTATGGTGCATCTTTGCTATATATATATATTTATATATATATATAGTTGAACACAGCTTACAAGAGCTCCGAGAACAAGGCTACCATGGGGGACTGCTTTTGGGAGGCGTTCCCGAGCGCATAAAATGCGCAAACGCGTAACGCGCACTAATGAAGCGCAACCTCCATTGGCAAAGCCAATGAGGCCTGGCGTACCTCAAAGTTGAAAGAGTACCCACCGGCTTTCTGCCAGCTCACAGCTGAGCTCTGCCGGACGACCCTGGTTGGGAACCCTTTGGAGTAAGATCTCCCATAAGGTCTGAGCTCTTTGAGGCAGCTGATGACCACGAGAGTCATGGCCTGGATTATGCTACCGGAGCACGTAATTAGACTGAATGCATGCGAGGCGGTGCGCCGTACGGACCGGTCCGAAAGTCAAAAATCGAAAGTGTCCATAAGCTCAACAGCCGTTGAGCCTGCCATTTGTGGCCTGAACACACACGCATATGCCCAATGCCAGCCCCCTCACACTCGCATATGCGCAGGAGCGGTGGCTCGGAGGCGCCGAACAGCTTGAAAGTGTGGTGATATATTGGTAGCAAGAAACTACTAGTAACAAGGGGGCATCGCTACTGGGAGCAAGGACGCTACTAGTAGCTAAGGGCATGACTACTAGTAGCTAAGGGCATGACTACCAGTAGCAAGAAACTACTAGGTTCCCCCAACATGCACTTGGAAGTCAACATGATATTGACAGAAAAGGTAGCGACCAGCCAAGGACCCTTAAGAGGCCTTGTGACATCAAACCAGGGTATCAAGATCGGTCACGAACTGAGGAACCAGGGGAGCCTTTCATGATCCTTCATCTTTATGGGTCGTTCAAAGCCCTCGGTGAAAGTCTGTACCTAAAGGAATGATGGTGGGAGAAGAGCTGCAGCGGGTCGAACGTGAACGTGGCTGAGAACTGCTAGCTAGGGAAGTGTGTTTCTGTTTTTTGATCCAACATTTCAATCAGTTTGGCGATGTTTACCATGCGCACGCTCGGTCCGCAAACATATCAAGACACCACTTCATCCATGGAAACAAAGCTCTTGATAAAGTTCAATCTTTCTTTCGAGGAACTTGAGGTGTGCGACCGAGAAGGGTTCTTTGCTGTGAGGATGTATTATTTGAATCTTGAATTCCCAGGCATCCAAAATGCCATGTGCACACGCAGAGGATTGGTGCCATCGTTTGGATCGGTGGCCCGTTTCAATGAAGCATGCCAGTGGTTGCATGCAAAATAAGGTAGCAAGTTCTGAAGATCTCAAAGTCTTGATCCCGGTCCAGAGGATTGCAGCATCATCCATCGGTGTGCCCACCTGTGGAGGCCTTCTCCTGTGCTTCGGAGCTCCCGTTCGGTCTGGGGCCTCAGATTTCCGAGTGCATGGCGGGTGCGCACGGTCCCTGGGAGGGCCCCCCCTGCTGGATATGGGTTGTTAGGAGTCGGGGGATTCAACTTTGTGCAGTAGAGGAACCAAAAAACAGTTTGCGGAGGTCTGTGATTGATTAGGTGTAATTGTTCGCAACCTTGTTTTGATATTTGTTCCCTTGTAGTCTTTTAGTCAGCCCCATGCCATCCAAAACCTTGCAACGTCAGCCCACTACCCGCAACGATTTGGCAGCTCCCCGCCAAGATCCTGCAGCTTTGCAACGTTTGCAGGGACATTCCAGTGCTCCCCAACAAAGTTTAAAGGTCACTCCTTAACCTCTATATAGGCCATATATTTTATATAGACACCCCCAAACAGGGAACTTTTGGTTTTAATCTTTGTCATCTGGAGCTGGCGAACGCTCGCTCGTCGTATACGTGGCGCGGCCACGGACCGATCTGGAGGCCCTAGTGGACCACTGGAAGAGACCAACCCAGAAGTAGTTGGACCCTCTGAGTTTGGACCAATGCAAAGACGGCTGGAACTGTGACGGACTGCTTGAAAACATGCGGAAGCTACATGACAGATCCAAGGGTCAGGATCTCAAACGGGAGGTGTTGCACGAGTCGATCTTGGGCAGTCCAACCAGACCTGTCCGAAACACCTTCTTTGGCATGACAGTGTGGCCGGGTTGAAGAACAGCATTCTATATAGTTCAGCCCCATCGAACATACTGGCCTGTATCTACAAAACATTTACAAAACATATCATATAATGTTATAGATATTTAATTGTGAGTTATTCTGTAGCCCAGATCTGTGTTCTTGCAGCAAGTTGGGACCATCCATGAGTAAAAATCAGTTGCCTTCAGCTCATACGTGACGGAAAAGACACGGCCTGGCCGTCACTGGAGTGTGCCCACTTGCTCCATTCGTATCTTTCGGTCGCAAAGGTCCGACCTTATAAACAGTACAGAATCTAATAGGTGGAAAAATTCGGGATCCCTAGTGGCATTCCTATACCCTAGGGCTCCAAGTACCTCCTCAGAAGGACCTCCTCAGAAGGTATTTGGACCCTCTAAACCCTCCGCAAACACCTTTATGCCTGTATGACCTGTTCCATGACTGCTTGACGAACGGAGGGTCGTGCCATGTGCGCCGAAACTCGGAGGCCGAGCCGGTGCCCAGCCGTGAGGCAGCGACGCGTGACGCTTGCGACGCGGGCGGGGGCGTTGGACGCGCAAGGGGTCGGGTGGTGCATCAAAGGTCCAAGTCATTTCATAGCTATGTACCCCTAGGTCTCCAACCATATCCTCTGGTGGTTGGAGCCCCTAGGTCTCCACCACTTTTTCCCCAACCATCGAAACGGAGGTAGGCCAGGAGGTCTAGGGTACCGATGCAACATGAAACAACCATTGGTTTACTACGGATTTCAGTACTGTACCCCCTCAAAAGAAAGAACATGCTGCGAACATGACCATATAAAACACATGTATACTTGTTCTATTTTGTACCTATGTTCTGAGGTACTGTGTGAGACTCCATATCACTATTCCCATTCTTTCCCAATGCTTTGGAAGGGTCGAACCGAGCACCGGAGCACCGGAACGGTTTCTATGGACCTGACGTTGGACTGCCCCGGAGTCAGAGGGTTGGATGAGGGGACGTGTTTGTATGTGGGTGTGGATGAACGTTTCCAACACCCAATGGTTGGGGATTGAGGAGCTCTATATGTGTTTTTGGGGGGTACCCCAAAACCACCCGAACTCTGTCATGCTGATTTGTGCTTCCAGGCAATTCAGACACTGTTTGAGCTCAAGCCATGGTGAATGTCCGAAGGTGTAGGACGACTGCCATATAGTATACTTGTCCAATCCCTATTATCGGCCTCCAAATACCTGATGAGAAGGCGTTTGGGTCAGGTTTGGTGGGTTTAGGGGGTTTATAAGTACATTGTTTTTGAAGATCGGACTCGAGCTGCACCTTTTTTTTTCACCTTTCGCCGTTCCGTCTTCCGGGTCTACCGGGTTTGGTGGGAGGCACCCCCCGAAAGGGACCGGCTTTTGCACTGACACGTGAAGCCTGGGAACAGGTGCAGAAATGGTGAATTCCTGAGTCTACGTGTTTTGACGATCAACAACCGCGTTCTGACCATGAGCAGTTCATTCTTGGAGATTTGTGCAGAAGGTTTTGACGTAGCCATATCAGCCTACGATTTGGAAACTACTGCGAAGGTGTTTATGACCCTAGAGGTAGTTTGCAACATCGGATTGGATGTGGACATATGTGGACAATGTTTCAACAAATCGCTTGTGCATCTCTCATGTAGGACATTCAAGATTTGGTTGCTGCGACATCAGTCTCCAAACCCACCGTTGAAGGATGACATCTTCCACCACATGTAGAAGATGCAGTGTCCAAGTACAGTGGTGTCCACCATGCCGCTAGTTTTGACCCTTGACTCTTGGCTCCTGATCTCTCGCTTGGCCTTTGTGGGGGGTCCTTGCGGTGGCCGAGCAATGCTATGGCGGCCACTCAGACGACAACGATGTCGGATGTCGTGATGTCGGGTGTGGACCCATGACGCAAAAGTTAAGGGGTCATGTAGTGGAGATCAATGACTGTCACAGGGTTTGACTTCTGAAATTAAACGTCCGTCGTTATTTAGGGAGTGGGTTTTCCTGAGAGTCATGGTCCATGGGCCGATGAATGATGATGAATGGCCATCAGTTGTGAACGTCCTGCCAATTGTTTTATTTTGGAAGGCTCTCAGTGTTTCGCATGAATTCGCAACAACTGCTTAGTGGCTCGTTTGTTTGAAGGATTGCAGTGACTGCATGCAGTGCTTGCAAGAAAAGTTGCTGTGTACCACGATTGATGGACATTGGCCGTGATGCAGTGGTTGCGAAAAGTTGGTGCGTGGTTCGGGCGCATTGTGATGTGTTCGCATGTTTCTTGCGGCAATTTCAGGTCTATATATGGAGGCGTTAGACCAAAATGACCCCTCCAAGTAACCACAATCTGTATATTCACAGTGTACGCAAGAGGGAAGTCTTTTTGTACTGTTTACTTGCACAGGACACAATGGCGCAATTGCAGAGTAACGTCTCAAGACTTGGAAAACAGACATGCCTTCGAGCTTGAATCGCCTCGAACCCCATTTGTCTCCTTCCCGAGGTGGCCAAACCAACCTGGGCTGCCAGCCTTGTGAGGCTTCTGGGCCTGAGCCGATTTCCTAGGCCCGACGAGGCCGATTCCCGGGAGTTCGATGCCGCCGACTGAACGGGAGAGATCCAAGAAGCGCACCTGATGAGGGGAGGGATTACCTGGTCGCACCTGGTGGCTGGTCCATTCGGTCTCCTAACTTAGACCAAGCAATCTCAGTGTGCCTCTGAAATCTGAAATACCTGGGCCCTCCAAAGTGACGGTGGGACCTTGGCCGGACGCAAAAGCAGCTACTTGGGGTACTGCCTATGGCCACTTGGGCTACTTGGGTGATTGGAGCATTGCCGTCTGGCGGAGAGGTGCGACCTTCAGTAGAGCGGAGCGTTGATGTGGCGAAGCTGGTGAGGAGACTGCAGCAGGAGTGGGTGGAGCACTTGTTATTTATGTTGTTTTTTTTCGCGTGAAGTCAAGTTGGACTGTCCAAAGTACCTAGAGTCAGAGTGGAGGAGTAGGTAAGAGGAAATATCAACCATGTCCCATTTTCCAAGGGAACTGGGTGCACTTGACAATCCAGGCGCTCAAATCAACAGACTTCTGACCCTCCGATGGAGCGATTCTTCCGCTAGGGAATCCAAGGATTCTTCACATGTATATAAATCGTTCCAAAAGCATTGAAATCACACCCTATCAAAGAACTTGTACTCCGTTTGCCTAGAAAATGGAATATGATCCTACCAAAACAGGGAATTTGTATATACTTGTTGCCACCCATTTTGTCCGAGGTACGAACATGACGACTGCAGGTTGTGAACTTGTATTGGTGCCTTTAGATCATATTTGCATACATTGATCCTTTAGGCGTTTCCAAAATACATGGCGGCGTACTCCCTTCCATCCTTGTCCTGTTGGATGGTGACTGTACCTCAATACCTGTTGGTTTCGCATGGTTTCGCAGCGTCGTAGGTCACCAAGTGAGTATGGAGGGATTGGGGTCGGAGGCTCTGTTGTTCGAAGCTTCTACGTGGAGCCTGAAAGCACATACCGTACGTACCATACACCCCGCTGTTCCAGATGCGGCACGACGTGTCGTTGTGTGGGATCTCTTCAATCCGGTCATGTCCCATGTTCAGCACTTTGGAGGGGTCCAGGTACCTCCTTTTTTCGCCTGAAACAACACTCTTCCAGACGTCATGTGCAGAGGAGGGGCTGAGAGGAGGTCTGACATCGGGTTCTGAACCGCCAACATGTGCATAGCAGTTTGAGGGTCCATGAGCCTCAATGGGTACAAGCTAAAGCTACCTAAAACCCATGTGACAAATTGTTGACATGTTTAAGTGTTAACTTGTTCATGTTTGTGGTGCAGTTGAGGTTTGGAATTCACCGCCTTTTCTTGTTCTAGGAGAACCGAGCAGATGTGATTTGCAGAGCCTTGGAGGAATGACCCTTCTTCTCCCACGACCCCACCTTCACCGACCCATCGACCACCTCATCGACTCATCACCCTTCCGGGTCCCTTCGTCCCCCCCGGTAGGCGACCCGGGTCACACCCGCGGGGTCAGCCGGTACCGGGACCGACAAGGACCCGGTGTGGGTCATGAGTTCCGTCTTGTTGCGTCACCGAAGAGTTGTGCAGTTCCTCTATCAGCCAGACCAAGCATGAAGCAATCAAGACCTGGACCGGATTGTCCAGACGGGACCATGACGAGAGAGAAAACAGGTATATGTGTGCCACAGTGCCCATGTTCCAAGGTACGAACTCAGACTCCAACATATACTCCAACTTCCTTCGATTTTTGTCCAAGGCCTCTTCAATGCCATGATTGAGGAGACCAGTACGTGCCTTTTGAGGACAATTTGGAGAAGAAGAGTGGTGCGTTGAATCCAACAGGGATCCCACGACTTAGGCAAACTATGGCAAACTGGATTGATGAAGTTGGGTAGTTGGGGTATTCCATGTGGTCTCCGAATTGTATGTTGCATGCCTCAAATATATATGATAATTGAATTCTTGGCTGATGACCAAACGTACACAGATGCTCCTGGTGCAGAAGCACGTCAACAACCCAGCACTCTCAGCGTAAACACCGGTGTTTGGAGGCTGAAGATGTGGTTCCATGTTCGAAGGGAGTGAAAACCCACAGAACTCACTGTATCATGTTGATCCGGGCTGGTCAAGTGCACTGGATTGGTTCACAACAATCTCTGATTGGTTCACCCATGTTTCGGCGGATTCCACAGACCTGCCCCTGCCCAGCGAACGCGGATTCCCGTGGCTCGTCCGTACGCTGGGTCCGTGGCGTTCCCAGAGGTCGTTAGACCAAAAGGGGCGACCCATTGGACCATCCTTTTGTGACAACTCGCAGGCTCACGACTTAAAGCACTCATGGGCACGCTGATTCGATGTTTTACCTCCTGAGATGGTTGGGGTGGGTGCCAGGGAAAATTCAATATGATTCAATTACTTTCTGTTGGAGCCCTAGGGTTAAACACAAACCCAACATCCCTTCCGCAACGCGTACTGTTTTGCCTTTTCAATCCTTTTCATCTCGAAAGAAAGGACCGAATCCAGATGACACATGTTCGTAGGACGGTTTGGGGGATTTCTTGCCCGATCATCCAACTCGTTGGTTTGTTAGCTTGCTCGTTGGTTTGTTTCTTTGTGTTTGTAAATGACTGACTGCTTCATGTGCATGTCGCGAATACAACGCAGCCCTAACTGCATGATTTGGAGAAGGGGGTTGGTTTGTGTCAATTGTTGGTTTGACAAAGACAGGTGTTGGAATCGTTAGAAATCGAAGAAAGCTTCCAATATTCTTGTCGATGGGCTGAGTAGTTGGTCACAAGGCGTATTTGCCTGACTCTATGGTTGTCCGTCCTCCGTCCTTCCTTCATGGATTGTAGCTCCAGTGATGACATGACAGGAATTCTGCAGCACCTGGACAAAGCGCTGTAGGATTCTGTAGGATGTCAAGCAGACAACATCCAAAGCATCCGGAAACATGTGGACATTGAGTCCACTGGCGGCTGGTCCGGGTGCAGTCGGTACCTTTGCCGAATTCGTGAGCCTCTCAGGCTGGACGGGCCTCATTTTACCTTGGCAATCTCTGCATGTGCAAAGTCAAGCCTATGGGCACAGGCCCTCTCCCTCCTCAACAGCAGCTGGACATAGCAAGAAGCACCGATAGTTCAGCCAGCACAGTCTTTTGACACGCTGCCAGTTGCAATGGAACTCTCTACATGTTTCTTTCAGATATATCGAGTCCTATGTTTCAGGTTTTTGCCCTTGGTGCCCGCGGTCGGCCCGCTGGCTTAATCCTGCTGCCATGCGGTCCGCCCGGTGGGTATATAGGTGGCCTTGCTTCTGAGCTGAAGCAAGGGTTGTTGACGTTGAAGGCTATCAACTGTTCATAACGTGTCAACGACTCAACACATTTGGCCCAGCCATTTAAGTCATCTTTCCCCTAGCCCCTATCGAATCAATAATCTATTTAAACAATGAAAACAACATATACATATGTTTTGAGGAATCAATAATCTATTTAAACAATGAAAACAACATATACATATGTTTTGAGTTGAGTTGAGTATGTTAATCAATAATAGTCCACGATGTTTGATGTGAAAAGGGCCCTCAACAAGGTATCCCAGCGGTGCGGATGGATCCCAACATCTTTCATTTCTCTGCAGCGGTCAGCGCTTGTGAGAAAGCCTCCCAGTGGCCAAGGGCTGTGGAGCTACTCCGATGCCCGGCTGGGACATGGTGGTCTTGGGGTGGGACATGGTGGGACCTGATCCCGTGATGAAGTGCCAAAGAGCTCGGTGCAAGTCTGAAGTGTTTGGAGACCAAAATGAAAGGTGTCATATGGTGTTGTTTAAAAAAAAAAAAAAAACATAAACCTTGGGAGGTCCAACGACACGTTTAACAACCACATAGGTTAAACTATCCTATCCGTTTGTTGAGGTCCAACTCTGACAGCGAAGTTGACAGCGACTCCCAGCAGCGAACAGGGAAGATCACATCCGAAGGGTCTAAAGGGAGGTTTGATGAACAGGCAAGGGTGTTCAGACTCAACGACAATTTCCAAGCCACCCCCTCTTGGACTCTGAGCAAATCTGCTTTTGGCAAAAACAGTATATATATATATATGGTTTTAACCGTTGTTCAGACACTTGGTTGGGAGAGATGGTGATTTCTCAACATAAACTCTCAAGTTGAACCCCTTCAAACTGATTGTATATGAATCACGATTGTCCTCTTTTTTCAGATGACCTCTCAAACTTCCATCTCCGGCACTGTCACGCCCATGCGCCAATGCCTGTCCAGGTTTCATGTGGCAGAGCTCGGTGCCGCCCAACCTGGTGACCTTTGGGGCAGCCGTGTCCGCCTGCGAGAAGGCGGGTGAGTGGACGAAGGCGCTGCAGCTCATGGCCTCTTGGACGAGCGAGCCATGGGAAGGCGGTTTTTGGAGCGAGCCATGGGAAGGCCCAAAAGTTGAGAAGATCTAAACCTGAACTACCCAGAGACTCCCACATGGATGGTTTGTACCCGCAAAAATGGGGACTGTCGTACGGTACCTGTCTTTTATGGGGTCATGACCAATTTTCTATGGTATGAACTGTCCGTCGGGTCCAGATCACAGTGCCAAGAGGTGCTTGCGCTATGTCTTTCGCCGGTTCTCTTGAACTCTGAGTGACAGGGCTGACTTTTGTACGCAGAAGACAAGATGGTCGGCAAGACATCTGAAGAAGGGATGGTATAATGGATGGAGGTCAAACTGGAGCAAATGTAGTGGAATCTGAAGTCTATATGGCTATGTATACCAAGATAGGTGGAGGTATGGGAGCTTCTGTTCTGCAAGCTACCCTGGCCAAAAGAAGTCGCCTTTGTATGCTCATTAAGCTGTTGAGTTTGAATTGACAAGTCAAGGTCATCCTTCAGTTTGCCGAATGTGACTGAGGAGTACCTGGACCTGGAGTCTCAAAATACAGCGGAAAATGGGTACAAGTACTTGTTGTTATGGAGTCATGTGCCATTGTCTAAGGTGAGATGAAGCTTGCCACGCAACCCGAACAAGAAACCTCCAGGACACCATCCAAGATCCATGCCTAAGCTATTCACATCTATTAGCCTTCAGAAATTCCACCAGTGATCCCCTTCCCTATTCAATAGGCACCACCCACGAGGCCCGGATCCACGTCATCACTCTCCACGTCGAGGGTGACGTCGTTTTTTTTTGGATTTGAAAAATCCCGGAGGTGTCTTTGGGGTGGATCCTATGGGATTCTTTTGTCAGCACCTTTTTCCAGTAAGAAGTTATTTAAGATTTTAAATCCATGTCGTGTGCCAAAACGATGGCAGTTGCTACAAGTTGGGAGGGCACAAGCTGATGGCGAGCGCCTCTCAGGAGGCCTTGGAGAGCACCCGGCTCCATGGAGATGTCGTCCTCTACAGTGCTGCCATCAGCTCCTGCGAGAAGGGCACCCAGTGGCTCCAGGCCTTGGCCTTGTGACCCGGATGGCAGTCCAGGCTATGGCATGGAAGTGGTTACTACTACTACTACTACTACTACTACTACTACTACTACTACTACTA